CCGGCAACGGGACTGCAACCCTCAGTGTTGCCCCCGTACCGGACCGGGGACCGGCAACGGGACTGCAACCCTTGGTGTCGCCCCCATGCCTCGCTCAGCCAGTGAGCAATCGCAACCCTCAGTGTTGCCCCCGTACCGGACTGGGGACCGGCAACGGGACTGCAACCCTCAGTGTCGCCCCCATGCCTCGCTCAGCCAGTGAGCAGGAACCGGTCTGTATGTGGGATCCGAACCCTCGGCGGGAGCGCCGCCGCGCTTCCCAAGCGGCGCACTATCCAGTGCGCCACTGGGCCGGCCCTCCCAAGAATTCTTAATTGTCAGTCCATCCTCTCTGCTTCAGAAAAATAAGCTCACCTCATCCTCCCAGGTCTGTCTGTGAACCTTCTCCCACTCCACCCCTTCCCTACACAAAAGTTAAGTTTGGATTCAACTGCTTCAAGCATCTCTAGCATATCCTCTGCTTTGTGAAGGTTTCCTGACTAGTGAGAAGAAAGTTGCTGAATCCTCAGGTCACACACGAGCTAAATATACAAGTTTCAGGCACATCCACTAGGTGTCATTGGACAAGATTTTTCTCCTGCTTATACTGCTCATAGTTTTTAAATGTCCACGTTCAACATATTTGGTGGAATTTCCCTGCCAATGTTGCCAGCCTGCTATTAAAACTCACTGTGTGAGACACAACTAATCAATGCTTTCTGATTTCATGGTTAAATCATTCTCACCCCCGATCACCTTCCCAGCAGGTTGTGGTGCTGACGATCTTGCTCTGCTTTCAAGTGTGTGATTGAATTCTTCCTGAATGACCTAAAACCGTACACACGTGTCAAGGACCAACGGACCAAAATCTCTGCCAAAATCCATGCACCTCAAAACTCACCTCAGGAGTCAAGTATTTGGCAATTAGATTCTCTAAAAAGGGCCTTTTCAAAATGGAATTAACAGATGGTCGATCCCGAGGAGATACTTTAAAGAGCTGAGATATCAAGGACCGTAGGTCACAAGAAAACCTTGGCGATACTGGGGCAAAATGTGCTTGACAGATCTTCAGTACCAGCTGGTGTAAGTTATTACCCTCAAACTGAAAGGACAAGGAGCAATGATACTAAATCAGAGAAAAGTTAAGTACTAGCATCAAAGTAATAAGTAAACCAAGAAGCAAAACAATGTTTATAAGCTGCAGTTAGAAGCAATATGTTTTCATCGACTAATCTTTTGTGAGTAGATATTGCAGGCAGTTACTCAATGAGATGCCATGTTATTCAAAAACAAGGTTTTTTTTAGTTTTAATTTTTTCTTATTATCAAAATAACATTTACTCATTATTAAAAACTGGAAAGTATAGGAAGTTATAAGCAGTCCAGAAAGATATATATAATTTCACCACCCACAGGTGTATTTCCTTTTGGTCTTTTTAAAAATAATGTTTATTTTACAGAGTTGACATTATATTGATATACCAAATTTTACGTCTTGCTTTTTTTAAATTGGCATAAAATAAATATTTCCTCATTTCCTCAAAACTCTTCATAAAGCAGAAAATCTTCCATTGTATGAAACCATTAGCTATTTATATATAATAACAATGTTCAACACCATGATGTTGCACTAAAGGTACAGGTTTTGGTCAGATCCTGTCCATATAATTTTTTAACAATCTAGTGAAACCAAACATTAACTTTTTTTCTCCCAGAAGTTAATTTCATTTATATGATTCCAATCACTCAAGATTATTCTGACGATTAACATACTTACCGGATGCTTGAGTGTGCAGAGCTCATATAAGACACAGCCAAGAGACCAAATATCCCTAGAGAAGACAAGAGTTTACATGCCAAGAAAATGTCCATAATTCTTAATAAAAGCTTTTATCCTTCTAGTGCCTTACATTTGTGTAGCTTTCTAATTTTATATAGGTTGATCAGTTTTTACAAATGCTTTCAGATGTATTATCAAGAATCAGATATATTATTCTTACCAAGATAAGAAGTAAAATAAAAACCAGTTGTAGTCTGTCAGAACCCTAGCAAACAAAAGGTATACAAACTTTGCTACAATCTGATGGCTCAGTATCTACTTCAACTTCACATGTTCAAACAAAATGTGTGTATGATGAAATTTTGAGCAATTTGGTGAGTGGCAGGACTCAAAGGAATTTGTTTTATCTCAAAAAGATAAAATATGGTTGATTTTCAAAGGTGTATTCTGTCCAAGTCTCTTGACAGAACCAAAGTTATATTAAGTGATGAACATAGTGTCTGGTTCTCAATAAACATTTGAAAAACGTACTTACAATATAACTTGAGCTTTGCTCCTTACAGATTTAGTAGTTAGTAAATATTTATATGTGGGTGGTTTAATAAAAAGTTATTTTATAGGGAAAAATACATAATTAAATATAAAAGACGAAGGAAAATATAATGAGAAGTCAAGGAGGTGGTCAAAGAGAGAAAACAAGAAGAATTCATTAAAGTGAGGCTAAGGGCTCAACTAGTTAGCAATGCTTACTGTGTGTGTGTGTGTGTGTGTGTGTGTGTGAGAGAGAGAGAGAGAGAGAGAGACACTAAAGGTTTGGGTGCAATAGAGGGTGATTGCAGAATTTGAAGGAAACAAATTTGAACTGCTTTCTAGAGTTTCTAGGAATTCATTGACCATTTGTCATCACACAGAATTTTGTCTTTTCTAGTCTTCCTCTTCGGTTCCCAGAGCACCCTCTGTAGCCAGTGTGGTGAATTCATACGCCTACAGAGCTCAGGCCGGTAATGAAGATGCCATTTGCACACCTGATACCCACCTCTGTGTGTTGAGGACTATGGTGAAGGAGGGAATAGCTTGCTCATCTAAAGGGGCCAGCGGCTACTTAGCTGATTATTGCTAAGATCTTCCAATTTCCAGAAGTACCAAATCTTCATGTTTTAAAATATTTCAATGTGTAAATGCTGAATAAAATTCTTTAAAAAGCAATACAAGGAAGTCAAATGATGCTGCTGACCCAGGGCTCTCAGCTCTGCTCTACACAGCCTACGTCCCCTCCAGCACTTCCCTGCCCGCATTACTGCACACGTTGAGGCCAGACTCCTGGCACCACAGGATGTCTCAAAAAATGCCCGTTACTTTATTATGCAGAGGAACTTTTACCATTTTTTTCAAGCTCCTATTCCATCTCCCCAGCTCAAAAAATTCATTTAATATACTGTCTTCAGATATAGGACATATCAGATATGAAACTGATAAGAACAAACACTACACTTGATCTTTTACTATTCTTTTTGTAAATCTCTACTATCAGGCTTTGCCTTCATTTTATCTCTTTCAAAGTCCAGCAGCAAATATCACACGGGCATTTTCCTAAATAAATGGACAATTAACACCCAAAGGGAACTCAGTCTTCTTTCTAGGCCAACATGTTCAATGGCAGCCAGCTTTGAAAAACGAAATTTTTACTTCTCCTTACATAGAGGTAAAAAGTACCTCATCCTCACCCTTTTTATATTGTATATTAATATAAATTATTGGTGTATGTATTTATTGGTGTATATATTACTGCTGAGAACTCTAATATCACATACATAAAAAGTAGTCAGGTTTTAAAGCTGGAAGACACCTTAAAAATTACCTAGCCAACTGTCTTGTTGTTATAGGTTGGGAAACTGAGGCCCACAGAGGTCAACTGGCTTGGCAAGTTAGTGACTGAGCCAAGACTAGGAGTCCTAGCTCCTAATCCAGTGCTCAATCACCAGACCACACTGCCTTCCACCCGACCTGTCTACATTTCCCTGCAATAGACTAAAGAGTGCTTAAAAGGCATGAAAATAAATTATGAAGATGGACTTCAAAGTGTCTGCAATTTTCACTGCTATTCTTTGTGTTGCTTGTATCTTTAAATAAAGAGAAGTGGCTTTCTTCTAAATAAGTGCAAAAGCTTCAGGGAACACTGGTCAGAGGTAATCACTGGGATCCCCATTTCACATATGAAGAAAATGAAATTACAAAAATACCATAAGAAAAAGAGAAGGGATTAGAACTTTAGTTTCTGGAATCTTAATTCAGTATCATCCATCAGATTTTACTGACAGTTTCAAACACATAGTCAGCAACTTACGTTTTATTATTGTAGGGTTTATTTTGACAGATCTCTGGGGACAGGTAGTAAGGTGTTCCAACACATGTTCGAGCAAGTTCCATGGAACTAGTAAATTATGTTAAATAATAAAATAGCAGGGTTTATTATTGGAGTAAGAAAAGACAACACAGATATGTAAGAAAAAAGTATAAAAATGGAAACACAAAATTTGATACATGCACATATTAGAAGAAAGCAAAGCATTGTATACTGATAACAGAGTAATAAAATCCATTGATTTTTAAACATATATAACTCACACCCCCAAGTTTACACATTAAAATACATTTTTTATGGCATAAAGACTCCACAAAAAGATAAATTATTACATTATAAAAATTTCTCAGACATAGGGCCGGCTGGGTGGCACACTGCTACAGTGCACTGCTTGGGAGCGCGATCCACAAAAAGATAAATTATTACATTATAAAAATTTCTCAGACATAGGGCCGGCTGGGTGGCGCACTGCTACAGTGCACTGCTTGGGAGCGCGATGGCGCTCCCGCCGAGGGTTTGGATCCCACATACAGACCGGTTCCCGCTCACTGGCTGAGCGAGGTTTGGGCGCAACCCCGAGGGTTGCGATCCCGTTGCCGGTCCCATTCCGGTACGGGTGCGACACTGAGGGTTGCGATCCGTTGCCGGACACGGAAAAAGACAAAAAAAAAAAAAAAAAATTTCTCAGACATAGAAAGACTCCCCTCTTTTCAATTATCAAAAGAACACAATCTCATGATTTAGAGTTTGGAAAATATGAAGTGAATAAAGGAGAAATATTTACCCAGAATCTTAGCACTCAAAAACAACTACTGTTAAAATTCTGATATATTTCCTTCCAGTCTTTTTTCCATGCGTATTTTTCACATAGCTTGGATCACAGTGGAGCACTCAAAAACAACTACTGTTAAAATTCTGATATATTTCCTTCCAGTCTTTTTTCCATGCATATTTTTCACATAGCTGGGATCATAGTGTATCTTAGCACTCAAAAACAACTACTGTTAAAATTCTGATATATTTCCTTCCAGTCTTTTTTCCATGCGTATTTTTCACATAGCTTGGATCACAGTGGACTTAAAATTCAGAACTCTGTTTTCTGTACTGACTATAACACAGTATTTCCTTACGTTATCAAAAAGTCTTCAAAACCATAAATGTTTTTGATGATGTAATATACTCAGGTACATGGCTATGCCAAGTTTTATTAAGATAACCATTTCACGATTATTAGACATTTAAGTTATTCCAAATTTCAAATTATTTCCTTGGAACAAATTTCCAGAAATATAACATTTAAAAATCTCTTGATATATATTACTACCAAATTGTCTTCCAAAATACTTGCAGCAATTTATTCCCCTGGCAACTGTAAACCTGCCTGTTTCACTAAATTCTCACTAGCTTTATGCATTTCATGTCACATCTCATATTTGGTAAACTTATATCACACTACATAACATTACCTCCCTCATTCTATTATGCCACAATTTATCTTCGAAATTTTAATCTCAGACAAAGTACCATCTGATGATTTAATTCATTTATAGAAAGTTACCTAAAATTATTGAGACAACAAGCTTCTAACATCTTCTCAACTCATGATTCCTAAAAATACATATTTTGGCGGTTTTGAATAGAAAGAAAAATGATTTTTAAAAGCACTTACTTATTCAGGACTGTTGCTATACCAAAGTCACCAAGCTTTGCAACCATTCCATTCTTGCTAAGAAAAATGTTCTATAAATGGAGAAAATGTTATGTTCTTTGAGATACTTCAAGGAAAAAAAAAGATCAGTTCTGTCTTGGTCTTCTCTCTGAGCTATTACCTGAGCTTTTATGTCCCTGTGTAATATCTTCCTGTCATGAATATGTTTTAGTCCTAGAGAAATCTGTACAAACCAATCCAGGATCTGCAGAGGGAACACAACACAAAACTATTGAATAGTCTGGCAGTCATTCAGATGACTTCATGATAACATGCAAAAAGAGAAAAATAGTATTTTGTGTGTGTGTGTGTATTTATAGGAGTGAAGCTAATAGATATACCTTATTACATTATTTCCATTTTACAGCTAGAAAAATGGAGGCACAGAGAGACAACCCAGATATCATTGGTATCAAAGGGAATTCCACATGCAGAAAAAGAAATGGAAGCAAGAGAGAGAAGAAAGCCATTCCTGATTTTCTTTTTTCTTCATTAACACCAAGTTGCTAACTGCATCGGGTATGTAGACAACAGCCCTGTTTCCTGATAACCCAGGCACCACTGGTTTTTCCTTTCCAGTGATGGAGGGCACCGAGGGAGGGGAGAGAAAGCAGAAAAAGTGGAGAGTCCATGAGGCTGTTGGAAATTGTAATGAAATACCTATCTACATAACTATCTGATATAAAACCAACAAACATTTTACTTTTAAAACTTAATTTTATTTCTAAGTCATGATTTTATTTGATCATAGTTGGCCTTGAGCCTCTTTATTAAAATATTTTCTATGCCTATAGAGATTTACTTAAACTATTCTAAAATTTCACTAGTTCTTTGAAAAATTATACAGGATGAGAGAGAGAGAAAAAAAAAAGCTATATTCCAGACATTAAGATTCAGTTGTAATTTTAGTTCCTTCCCAACAAAGGGAAATGGAATTCAACATTTTGTCATGGAAAGCACTTTTACAAAAGGTGGCAAAATAATACCTAAATAAGAAGAAAGGAGGGTTTCTATAAACAAGTACTTTAACATAAAATGTAAATCAGCATAGGAAGAATATTTGATTAAATTTACAGAGGTTAGGATTATTGATTCTTTAATCATTCATAAATTCAAAATATTCAGCTTTAACACTAGGGGAAAATTATAGGTGCCTGGTGCTCTTAAATGCTAAAACAGAACAAAGAAACAACAAACTGAAAGAAAGATGGTGGGCCATTCCTGTGTGCTCCTTGAGGCAATGGTCTTACCCATCAATCACAAAGACCCTAATTTGGATTTCTCTCCACACACACATATCTGTCTCCTTTAAGAGTACCACTTCAAAGAGGGTTCCAAAGGGGGCTTGGACTATTGAATAAAAATGTATTTGTGCAAATAGAAAATGGGAATTGAGACCATTATTCTTCACATTTTCTTTCCCTCCTCTTAATAGCTAATGAAACTAATAGGCATTGCTAAGACGATCTTCTATCCTCCCTAGCAAAGTGGGATGACTATTTTAAAAGAGTACCAAATGGTAAAAAAAAAAAAAAAAAAAGAGTAAAGCTGTAAATATATCACATTTAAAATGGCTAAGGAACATCCACATTTTGAATTTTTTTTAGCCACGAAGATTTATCTCAGAGGCATCCTACACAAGATTGTCCAAAGAGACTATCTTTTCTCAAGAAAACTTCACTCTCAAAAAGAGATTCAGTTTAAGTTCAATTGCAAACCTGTTCTGGACTAAATCTAACAAGAATGTTGATCCACTATTTATGGCTTGGATTTCTCTACCAAAAATCACACTTCATATAAACACAGTCTACTACTTATAACATTATAAATTTAACACACACACACACACACACACACAAATTAAAAAGCAAATTAGAAGGTTTTTACCTGATCTTCACTAAATAACACTCCTTGTTGTCTATTGATCCTTTTCATGAGATCTTCTCCATCACAATATTCCATTACAATAAACAGCCTACCGTTCTCTGTAAGAAAAGGCATCATTTGGTGCCAGAAGGGTTTCAGATATTTATCAGTCATTTGCCTTTCAAGTTCTAGACTGTGGAGAATATAACAGAAAAATGCAGTTTGTAATGATTAAAAACTCTGGCTGTGGAATCAAGATGGACTGGGTTCTAGGGCCGGCCCATGGCTCACTTGGGAGAGTGCGGTGCTGATAACACCAAGGCCCCAGGTTCGGATCCCATATAGGGATGGCCGGTTAGCTCACTTGGGAGAGCCTGGTGCTGACAACACCAAGTCAAGGGTTAAGATCCCCTTACCAGTCATCTTTTTAAATTAAAAAAAAAAAAAAAAAAGATGGACTAGGTTCTAATGTCGCTCCACCATTTACATTTCTTGGCTCTGTGACTCTGGGCAAGTTACTTTAATTTCTCTGTGCCTCATTACCTGGACACAGAGCTGTAACCAGCAGGACCCCTGTATTCAGCAGGATTCCCTCCCCTCCACCCCCCCATATTTGATTCCTCTCTAGGGCTGGAGCAGGCCTCAGCCTTAGAAGAGGTTTGCAAGACAAACTGCAAATTTTCTGGCTGAATGCCCAGAAATAGAAGTACACTTGCCTAACAACAGAGATAAGCACTAGACTGGCTGAGCATGCATTTCTTTGAGTTCCTTCCTTTCTCATGGTCACTAGATATTTTGCTCCTTGGCAACAGGGCAGGATAACATTATTTACGTGAATATTTATTTAGCCGTCTTCCGGAACACCTGCAGCTGTGACCTTGCTGAGAAGTATGTACCATGAAGACCTCCGAGGGACCAAGGAAGACATCAATCAAATGCACCACGGGTCAATTAAAATCCTGTGCAATCCCCAAGGCCCTCATCCAAACTTTTGCATTATAAATGCTTATAATTCTGGGGCTTCAGGGACTTCAGGTCTTTACAGCATTAGCCGTCCTGTTCTCCTTGGCTGTCATCTTCCAATAAATGCTAATCTCTACTGATGCAAATCTCGGTGTTCGGATTCATTGACCGGGATGCCTGTAGGTGGGGCGAAGTCACTAAGGTTCTGTAACAACCTTACTTGTAAAATGGAAATAATGATACTGAAACTTCCTCTTAGACTTCCCTGGGGCCTCACCAGGGTCCTGAGGTCTGAAACCTGGGGAAGCTGAACTCAGCTGTAACTAGGTAAGCTTCCGCCACTGCCCCAGGCCGCACTGGGGTCCCGAGATATGCAGCCGGAGAAAGGCGAAACCAGTTGCAACCAGGTAAAGAGTACACCAAAAACACCATTTCCACACAGGTAGCCCACCATAGCCACTGCAATTGCCATGGCTGCTACAAAAATGGCTATTCTCTGTAGCAGCAGTCACAGCCACCGTGCAGATGGCATGCCAGACTCTCAAATGCATTGACACAAGGAGAGGCATCAGCGGAGACCAAAAAAACCAAAAACTCAAAAAAAGAAAGAAGAGATCCTCCCTCTCCACAAATCACACTCCAGAGTAATAGAAGCATCTGATTTACAATAAGAGTGGAGGACTTGATCACACCTGTCTCAGTACTGGACAGATCATCTAGGCAACAAACCAACAGAGGAACAGTTAATCTATCAGATGGAGAGAACAGGTCTATGGTTATTAGAGGGGGGAGGGGAAGAGGGAGGGTGGAGATTGGATAAGAGGCATAAATAAGTATGATTTGTAACAATGAATATGCTAATAAAAATAAATTTAAAACAAATTAAAAAAAGAAATTGGTTAATGGACACAAAGAATGATTACCCTTTCGTAATGATGAATATGCTAATTATCATGTTCCTATCAGCACTCATTGTACACAGGTATTGATATTCAACTCTGTACTCCACAAATATATTTAAAAAAAAAAAAAAAGAAACCTCCTCTTTGGATTGTTGGAAAGATTCAATTAGTTAATCCACGTCAGATGCTTAGAACAAGTCTCGCACATAATGAGAGTTCAATAAATGTTAGCTATAATTATTAATGTATACAAGAGATTAGAAAGCTACTATAAAAATAGCAGCTGTGAATCTTTCCCAGCATCCCAGGAAGAATTAATAGCCCCTTCCTGAATTTGGGTATAAACTTGTATTTATATGGCACTTATTCAACCAAGTTGTTGAGTACAATAGAAACTCTTCTAACTGACCTCTGCCTAATTACTCACTGGATCACCAGAGCTCTCCGTTACCGCTGCCTGCTCAAGGTGGCCATGAAAGGCTGGTAGACTCTACAGTACACCCAAGTACCTCTGCTTCCATGAATTAAACTGACTCTTAAAAGATCATCGGTTATTCCCAAATCTGTTTATGCCATTTATATGAGAGTACTTCGAAAAGTTCATGGAAAGACTCGTATTATCTTTTAATTCTACTTTTCCACAGGCTTTTTGAAGTACGCTTGTACTTATTGTATTATTACATAAATGGATGAAATATAAATAGAAAAAGAAAATATGATTATTTCTACAAAAACTACATTGAGGAGATCCAGTCAAGATGGCGGAATAGACGGTTCCCAGCGTCACTCTCTCCCACAAATCAACCAATTTACAACTATAAAAATGTAACATCAGCCAAGCTGGGGCCGCTGGAGCTCAGGGGCAGAGGAGGAGAGACCTACGGAGTTCATGAAGGTGGGAGAAACTACGATGGGAGAAAGAAAAAACTGCTCTGAGCATTTTGGGCCACGGCTGCTTTAAGGCTCCTGGTGCTGAGCGCATGGAGCAAGAGCTGGCAGAAGCTGCAGCTGTGCCCTTCAGATGGAGTTACTTGGAGGTGGCAGAGGAGAAGAGGGCCTTGGTGGCCCCCAGGACAGCAAGACCACTAATAGGGTTCCCGTGGACCCACGCAGGAGCAAGAAGCCAGAACAACTGAAAAAAGGGAGCCACTCAGAGGCCGGTGAGTCATCTCAAGGGACGGGTGCAGGGCCCGTCCCATGGGAAGTGTTTGCAGCACGGGCGGTGGGGGAGATGGGCCCACCAGGGGAACACTGGGACACAGCAAGGACAGCTGATCTGCCCCCCCATCAGCACAGGACCACTCAGAGGAGACTGGCTGGGAATCCAGAATTGCATGGGGTGCAGTTTGATGAAAAATTCAGGCCCAGATCAGAGATTCTACAGAACACAGATCCACTGGGTCTCTGGAGAGCCAGAAGTACCTATAAGGTCAACCATTAAACCCTGAGATGCACAAAAAGCCTTCCCTAGGGAAACAGCAGCAAAGTAGCAATTTAGCTCAACCATACAGCTCAAGTACTGGTTCCCGTAGGAAGTGCCCCCGTGTTTGAAGCAAAGGAAGCAAAGGATAAAAAATTAGTTCCGGCCCAGGCACACCACCAGCACCTTGGGGCCTGCCTGGGAACTGCAGGCTTGGATCAGGGACCCCATTCCCACTTCCAGGCAAACTGCATCAGTACCTTGGGGCCAGCCTGGGGACCTGAAGCATGGAGAAGGGGACTGGACCCCCCCTCCCACAACCAGGCACACCACACCAGCACCTTGGGGTCTGCCCAGGGACCTGAGGCAAGGAGAAGGGGACCAGACCTCTCTACCACAACCAGGCACAACATGCCAGCAACTCGAAGCCCACCCAGGGACCCAGGGCAAGGAGAAGGGGAATGGTCCTCTCTCCCACAACCAGGCACACCAAGCCAGCACCTCTGGGCCCACTCACAGTCCCGGGGCATGGAGAAGGGGACCAGACCACCCTCCCACAACCAGGCACACCACACCAGCACCTTGGGGCCCACCCAGGGACCCAAGGTATGGAGTCGGGGACCAGACCACCCACCCACAACCAGGCACAACATGCCAGCACCTTGGAGCCCACCCAGGGACCCAGGGCATGGAGAAGGGGACTGGACCCTCCTCCCACAACCAGGCACACTGCGCCAGTACCTCAGGGCCTGCCCAAGAACTCAGGACATGGAGAAGGGGACTGGACCCCTCTCCCAAAACCAGGCACATGGCGCCAGCGCCTTGGGGCCTGCCCAGGGACCAGAGGCATGGAGAAGGGGACTAGACACACCCCACAACCAGGCATATTGCCAGTGCCAAGGAGCATACCAAAAACAGCACCACGTGGGTGGCCCACCATAGCCACAACAATAACCATGGCTGCTGCAAAAGCGGCTAGATGCCACTGCTACCACACAGATGGTCTGCCAACCACAGGAGTGCATTCACACAAGAAGAGTCACCAGCAGAGACAAAGAAAAGAAGAAGATGTCTTTTTCCATAAAACCCATTTCAGAGTGACAGAAGAAGCATCTGTTCTATGATAATATTGGGGGACCCGATCACATCTCTCAGCATTGGACAGATCATCTAGGCAACAAGTTAACAGAGTAACCATTATGCTTTCAGAAGGAGAGAAGAAATCTAGAATAATTAGAGCGGGGAGGGGGAGGAAATGGGGGAGGGGAGAGATTGGACAAGGGGCATAAAGAATAATTATGATTTGTAACAATATATATGCTGGTAATATTGATTTAATCAACATATCTCAATGTTCAACGCCCAAAATATATATAATCAATTTTGATTCAATAAAAAAAATTTTAAAAAAACTACATTGAATGTTTTGAAGGACTCAGTAAAAATGAATAGCTAAGGGCTGGCCCAGTGGCGCACTCGGTAGAGTGTGGCACTTGGGAGAGCGGCGGTGCTCCCGCCGAGGGTTCAGATCCCATATAGAGACCGGTCCGCTCACTGGTTGAGTGCGGTGCAAGCGCGACACCGAGGGTTGCGATCCCGTTGCCGATCGCGGTACGGGCATGACACCGAGGGTTGTGATCCCGTTACTGGTCACGAAAAAAGACAAAAAGGAAAAAAAAAATGAATAGCTAAAAAAAATTTTTTAAAAGGCTGTTGATCTAAATGTCAGATAGGACAAATGAAATATAACAGGAAAAGCTCTAAAAGGGTTGTGGACAGATTATCCATAAATTCTTTCTCAATATTAAAGAAAGGAAACTGGAAATTCTTTATT